TATCATCAAGGTTGTAAGAAAGAAAGAACTGTATATTAAATGAATCAGTCTATATATAGTCAATGTGACTTTGACTAATATTGTTTGACTATGTGTAGTGTTTATTATCAACATGTGTACCAAAGTCATACATGTTGGCTTGATAAAGGTAGCTTCAAATAATATTAATTACTAGTCTTTTAAATATAATATATAATTTGAATTGTCAGATCGAAAGTGATCAGTAATCATAAAACCACAACATTTTTCACTATGACTAACTTATCTTATTAATTATTAATATTGCATATTATGATGCAGTTAAACTTTTTTTTAAAATTAGAATTGTTTCTAAAGCTTTATTTTAAAACTTTCAAATCTTAAATTTGTTATTTTAAGTTAGTATTTAACTTACATTCTGTTAATAATTCTATTTTTGAAAGTTTCATTTAGACAAAAAGTATTAGTCTTGCTCACAACATTATTAGTATACATTAATAATAATTTTATTTATATTATTTAAAGTAGTTAAACAAAAATATAAAAATCTTAATTTTTAGATATTCTGCTATATAGAATATGAACTTGTTTGCCTTTGTAATATTTATTTTATAATAATAATATATTTTACATTTATAATATTAAATACAAAAACTTTTAATATCAAATAATTATATAATGTAACCACAATATTTAGTATTGAGTAAGCCTCATATTCTGAAGTAAAATATTCAAAATTGAGATTTTCATATTTTGTTTAATAATGCTCTTTTTTTAAATTATGTATTAAAAAAAAATTTTTTTTTTTATTATATAGATTTTTAAAGGATATAGTAAATTTACTGAAACTGATTGAAAAAGTAATCTAATGTTTATGTAATGCTAAGTGTCCAACTATCAATCTTGTTTATCCATATATAGAATTATTCAAAAAAAGGTTTGCATCAAAAACAAATGAGATGGTTGATATCTATTTAAATCTAATTTATAAAGAAGTTGAAGATGATGAGAAAGAAAGTGATAAATCTGAAAAAGAAATTCCTGCTACCAGAACTTATAAATAATAGCAATATGCATATAGACAGTTTAGCCAAAAAGTAGCCTCTCATAGTCAAAGTTATTGAAATATTAAAACATAGAGACAGTTTACCAATACTGAGCTAATAGATACTGACCAAGTAGAGTATTTGTTCTCTGTTGCTACTAATAATTTACTTTGTAAAGTTTAAGCTGTTATTTATCTGTTATTAAATGAATTATAAACAGTTCTGACAAATATTGCTTTAGTTGTTACATTTCTCAATCTATGGTTTAAATATTTTAATTTGATAACAAGCATTAAATAAAGAAGAGCACAAAATTTAATAAATACTCTATATAATAAATTAAAGATAAACCTTACTATTTCAGATAACAATAATAAGAATTTGGTAAATAGAAATTACAATGATAATAATAAAGATTTTTTTCATAAGTTAGAAGTAAATTCTAACAAGTTGATATAAAAGATGATAATAATGAAATAATATACTATATAAAGTTAAAAGAAATCAAAATTAATAAAGATTCTTTAGAATAGTAACTAAAAAATAAAAGTAGCTTGCCCATTTTGGCTCAATTAGCATACCAATATCTTTCTGTTCTAGTGATTACTATTTCAAGTAAGAGATTATTTTCTGATGCCAGCAATTATATTTTAGCAAAACAAACCTGTTTGTCACTGGATTTGGTGAATAAAGTTTTATTTTTGAAATGCAATAAAGTTCATTTTGAAATCTTTTTACTACAATGATAATGATAACAGTTTTTAATAATTGTTAACTTATTTACTCAATACTGAAAGTTCTAACTTAATTCATAACAAAATTATTGCTATGCTTAGTTTATATTTGTTAAATTTTTTTAAAATTTAAAATTCTAAAAAAAAAAAAAGATGCTAAACATGAATCTGAAAAAAGATAAATAGAAGCTACTGAATAATTAAAAAAGTTAGTATGTTTTATATATGAATCTTGTGGCTTCTTTTTTTTTAATTTCAAATTTTAAGTTTTTTTTTAATTTTAAATTTTTTAATTTTAAATTTTTTTTAAAATTACTTTTTTTTTTTTTTTTTTTTTTGTGTTATAAGCGGCAATCTTGCCTGTCTGTCTTTTATTGAGTAATATCTAGTTAT